GTGGGTGCACAGGTGGGTGGGTGGATAGGTGGATTGGATTGGCAGATATATGGACAAACAAACTTCCTCTCCACCCCTGACTTCACCTGGAAGTGAATAATAAATAAAGGCTGGTCGTGCCGACTCCATAGACCTGTCCACTCAGAGGCAGACCACCAAGGAAAATCTCCGGCGACTTACCATTTCCGCAGGGGAGCTGGGCATGAGGTAGAATTCCTTCAAGTGCAGGAAGAAGCCTTCTAGTTGTCCAATCAGCAAAAGTAAGATGACTCCATCTGCAAACTACAAAGGAGGGAACTGGAGGCCCAGAGCCTGGGGCATCCTGCTGTGCCTTTCACAGGCTGTGCGGCCCTGGGGAGGTCACGCAACCTCTCTGAGCCTCAGCTTCCTTTTTGAGAATGGGGACGGCATCCCGACCTTGCAGCATTGTCGTCAACATGAGCAGCGGCAGGTATACAGCAGTTATTGGCCACCTTCTCAGTAAAATGAGCTGTTTTACATTTTTGTGAAATAGCCTCATATCATTTTTTAAACCACATACTGTTCCATGAGCTACAGAAGCACAGGAGAAAACAGAATTCAGTGTAAAATTATTCTATCAGGAGAAGTCAGAGAACAGCACACATGGCTCACTTTGCTGGCTGCCACATTAATATTTCTGTCTGTTCCATCTGTATGTTCAGAGATAAAGCTGTCGTCCTGCCGCCAGCATATCATATGCTAATATAATCCTATTCAATCTCCTCAAAGACACAAAACACAGGATTGGATATTGGAAGAAAACCACCGCTCAAAGTCTTTAATGGAATTTCCTCATATTAGGTCTCTTCCAACGCTACTAGTTTGGCCTGAAATCTTATCTGCTGGTGTGTTCCGGTAATAGCACTGAAATCCCGGGGACTCCAATATCCCCTTTTATCCCATAGTCTCTAAATACCATCTTTGCCTATGCTGCTATTCTCCAAAAGCCATGATTTTACCAAGGGAGAGATAAAGATAAAACAGGTAAACTGTAAACCTAAGAAATCATCCCCATGCTGTTTATACCTACATGAAATATAATAAACACAAATGTATTATTTATTGTGTATCCACAGGGTGCCATGTAATAGACTAAACGCTGGGTATTTATCATTTCATTCGTTACTCGCAATTCTATGAGGTTGGTATCCTTGTACCCATTTTAAAAGAGTGAGGAGCCTGAGGTTCAGAAAAGTCCAGGTCCAAGGCCACACAGTCAATATGGAAGAGCTGTTCTCGGAGCCCAGGCACAACACGTATCCACCTGGCCTCAGAGTCTGGTATCTCCATCCTGCCGTGTCACCAGACTGTATCAACACAGACTTCTCGTGTGGCCACCATGTGAGGTGGTGATGGGCATAAGAGCTGGCCTCAGCAGGCTGGGTTCAAATCCCAGGTCCACCGCTTAATCACTGTGTGACCTTGGATGAGTTCATTGACCTCTCTGTGCCTTAGTGTGCTCATCTGTAGAATGGGAGAGTATCAGTCCCCCGTCAGGGCATTGTTGGAAGGCTTCAGTGAGACAATGTATGTAAAGCACTTTGCTCAGGGCCTGGCACATAGTGAGGGCTTTATTGGTTTTCACTACCAGGCACAGGAGTATATCATCCCCGCCCTCTCTGGCTGATGTCACAGCATGCCTGAGAAGTCAGCAGCTCTGGGAGATCGCCATACGCCCTTCAGGGCATCGAGGGCTGGCCCTGACCTCTCCACCCCGGCCATGCTACACAAGCAGAGCACAGATAGCCCGACACCCACACCCACGTCCAGTGCCCCGCTGACCATCAACCTCTCAGCTTCCCTGGTGTCCCCTGTTGATAAGGAAACACATCGGATACATGGTGTCCTCGTGGAAGGCCATGGCCCACTGAGAAATGCTGACCACGTAAGATTTCGTTCCCGCCCCAGGACGATTGGGTGTAAGTCGGCCACGGCGGGGCTCAGCCCCTCAGGGACCCACAGATGCTGGGCTGTGCTGGCACCTACAGCAACGCCAGGCACACAGCACACACCTTGTAAACACTGAACGAACGCAGTGTGCTTTGAGTCCTCGTATCTGGTGGTCTGAGATTAATTTTTTTAAAAGAGCTGAAAAGTGGTTGTTTTACAATGAAAAGTAATAGAAGCATAGATGAGCCCCTTTGTAAAGCTCCCACGGTCCCCACCTCACGGGACCCCCACCGTGTCCCTGGTTGGCGAGCTGCCTGCTAGCAATGCCCCCCTTCCGTTGGAGAGGAGGAACCCACGGCTCTGAGAGGCGACACCCCTCAGGGCACACGGGGTGGGCCTGGCTCCCAGGGCCCTGTGACCCCCTTCTCTGACCGTACCCCACAGCCATCCTCTGCATGGGGACCCTGCAGCTCAGTCCCTACCTGGGTGTCCAGGTTCTGCACAGACAGGCCCAGGCGGTCCAGCTTCTGGTTGACAAAGTTCACGATGGCCTATTCAAGAAAGAACAAGGCCCCAGGCCCAGGGCTTGGGTCTGTGATCTTCTCACGTAGGGGGCCAGAAAGCCCCCTCACAGCACCCAACACACAGCAGGTGTGGAGCGAGGGCCCTGTTTCTATCCCTTTGTCCCCCGAGGCACGAGGCAGGTGGGCGGTGGGTGGGCGACAGCCAGAGAGCTGCTCAGGGCTTTGATCTCTCTTACCTCTTGCACGGCGTTCACTTTCTCTGGAGCCAGCGTAAATAATTCATCAAAGACATCCTCTGTAGACAGAGCCAGTAAACACCTCATTACAATGCTATTATCTTTGTGCCAAACAGGGACTTTTTTCCACAAAAGTTTCTCAGAGTAACCAGACCAGGGGGAGCTGCAGTTTTATCTCAAGTTTCTTGAGTTTAAAAACAGGCCCAGGTCTAAGTCACTAGCCCTGGCTGTGTGGCTCAGGGGGAATCGCCTCTCCTCTCTGTGCCTCAGTTTCCTCATCCATAAAGGACGGCCGATAACACCCACTGCATGGGTGCTGCAAAGATCAATTCTGGTAACAGAGAAGCCACTTGGCACTGTGGCTGGGCACAGAGCAGGACTTCAATAAGTGGTCATCCTTTCTGCGGTGGATGTCATGTATTGTGTCTGCTCAGTTGTCATCCCTTCCACCAGAAACTGTCCCCTCCCAGTTGCCTGCTCCACTCACAGGTCCATGGGAGCGTCCAGGGGTGGCAGAGCGGGAGGCCAGTCCCGGACCGACACTTCGCCCATTGGACCCTTCCCCAGCATTTCTGGATGGGCAGAATGAAGGCCTCAGGCTCTCCCAGAGTGTCTGAACCTGCAGTGTGTCAAAGGCCAGCACCCTCAGCCGCTGAGTCACACCCACAGGGTCTGGGGACAGGAGAGCATCTTGGCAGCTCAGGCTCCTAGTCCAGTCTCAGGCACCCCAAGTCCTCAAGTTATAGGACTAAAAGACTAACCCCCTTTCCCACAAGTTGTATTCCTACTATTTGCAGCTGACACACCTCCCTGGGGAGACTAGTCCTCAGGCACTGGGTACTCAAACTGAGCAGAATTGACCTTGGTGTTTTGCCACTCAGCAGCTGTGTGACACTGAGCAAGTCACTTCACCTCTCTGTGCTTTAGTTTGTTCTTTCATTGGTGAAGTGGGGAAGGTAGCACCAGACAGCATTGTGCACGTGAAAATGCCCCGTAAACCAATAAGCACGATGAAAACACCAGTGGTCCCTTCCAGACCCCTTGGCTTGTGGTCAGGGAAATTATGTCACTGAAGGGAACATTGTTTCACAGGAATGAGAGACAAATATGTGCTCAGTTGACACAGGCTAGAACAGGATGACTGTGCTGGATATGGTTTTGAGGAGGCCCTGGCCCTCACTGTGTGACCCAACCTCATGCTGCCCCCTAATAAACACTGCTCCCTGGGCAAGCCCCGTGTCCCCATGCTGTCCCTCCACACACACATGCACAGACATCCGGCCAGCCTCCTTTGTACCTCCCCTCTCCTTCCTTCTGCCACGCAGCCTCTCTCTGCCTCTGTTCTCAGAAGCCCCTTGTAGGTCATTATTTCCTCCTCTTCAGGCGATATATCCCTCATAGAACCCTCTGCCCATATAGCTCTGCATCCTAAGTGGGGAGGATTTAGGGAAGAAAAATGTTAGGATGCATGGATGGATTCATGGATGATGGATTCATGGATGGATGGATTCACGGATGCATGGATGGATGGACTGGTGGATGGATGGTTGGATGGATGGATGGATGGGTGGATGGACGGAGAGCTGGCCAGGCCAACTGAGTGTGGACTAAATGAATGAAAGAAGGAATGTCTGGATCAGCCAGTCGATTAGTGAAGAGCTCTGTCACAAAAGCAGCAGCCACGTTATTGCACAACCACTATTAAGCTCTCACTGTGCGCTAAGCACACATTTACAAATCATCTTTTTATTCTCATCACCAGCCTAAGATGTGGGTGCCATTCTTAACCCCATTTCACAGATGCAGAAACTGAGGCACAGGTAGGTTAAGCGACTTTCCTGAGCTCACGTGGCTAATGAGCGGGAGACTTGGTGTTTGAACCCAGGCCGTCTGGCTCCAGAGCCCACACACTTAACTCCATCATCCCCACCAACGGGAATTCTAAATCTCTCTACCCACATGAGCGGTGTGATGAGAGGGAACAGCGCGATCCATGACGGACAGACAGAAAGAGGGACAAATGTAAGAGAAGAAGGCTCGAGATACAATTATAGGCCGCACAGAGAATGTGAGCAAACACCCAGCAATTAACCCTTCATTACAGGTCAGTTTGAACACATATCTGATAGAAAAAGATTGCCTTAAGTAATGAAAAGTACTCACTCAAAGGTTGGTCCTTGTCTGTGCTAAAGGAAAAATTGTAAGGAAGAAAAAAATCAAACAAAGGGTTAAAAAACCTTCAGACCTGTGCTGTATTACTATGATAAGTCTTGGTGAGACTGACAAATAAACTGGCCTCTTTTTCCTCCCCTCCCCTCCCCCGGAGGCTTTGTAAGGAGGCGGCCCCGTGGGAAGGGAGCAAACAGGAAAAGAAGCTCATCTGCTTCCCCTGAGGTTTCCATACCTAGAAATGTCTGGATTTTGTTATTTTTGTGGTTGTTATTTTAGGTTTTTTAGGGGGGAGGCATTATTATACATTCAATAAAATGCACAAATCCTAAGTGACTAGCTCGTGCATTTTCACACATCTACCCCCAGCAAGGTGCAGAAGCTTCAAAGCACCCGATGTGCTCTCCCAGCCCCTCATCAACTCCCCCACAAGCAGTACCACTGTTCTGACTTCTGTCGCAGCCCGCCGCCAACTCCTGTAAAACCACAACCCCGCGTTCTGTTCCTTCTCTCACCTGCTTTCAGTGAGTTGTTCCACTGACTTCTCCGACTTCAGGCCACTCTTGGTACTCTAAGAAAGGAAAACGGGGAAGCACTTGAGCGATCCCAGAAGACCTGGGGACCCACACGTGCTGCTCAAAGACTACAGAGGCCAAAGCAGCCCTGAAGAACTCAGTTTACTCCGCCCTCCCTCCTCAGGTGGGCTCCTGGGCAGTCTCATCACTGTGATTCAGCTAATTGTCCTTCTTCCCATGAGCCTTGAGCCCCACGAGGGTGAGAAACTGTGTCTGACTCGTTTCCCAGGTATCCCCGAGTCTCATCCAGTGCCTGGATCACAGGGGTCAATATACGTGTTGATCTGAATAATGAACGAATGATGAGTGGGTGGGCGAATGGATGGATGGATGGATGGATGGATGGATGGATGGATGGATGGATGGGCAAATGGATGGACAGATAGATGAGCAGATGGGTGAGTGGATAGGTGGATGGATGAGTAAATGAATGAGTGAAGGAATGGAGTCACCACTGATTCACATAAAAAGTATAAACAAAGCCACGAAACTGCTCAGTGGAGAATTTGAATCAGTGGTTTTGAAAAACGTAAGAATGAATTCACCTGAGTTTGGCCAGATGTGGCTACCCTGTTGGGTCAAGTCAAAGGCGAACCCCAGGGCATGACGCCCCGCTGCTCCCTGGGTACAGAGGCTGGGGTAAAACGGGGAGCCAATGCAGGCAGGGGCCCCACCTGCGGTGCTTAGAGTGCCTGAGAGAGAAGTCAGGGACTCCTGGGCCATTCACCACAGCACAAGTCATGTCTGTCCTGGAGAGAGCCCCGTGGGGTGGAGAAACCCCGAAACCACCGTCACAGCCATCAGCCAGTGAATGAGATGATACCACAGTGACAAGGACGGGGCTGTGACTCAGGGGTGGGAAAGTTCCCGGAAGGCTCTAACCAGATGGCCCCTTATGGCCCACGTGACACGGCTGCCATCAGCCAGGACCCTTCTAACACCCCCAGGCAGATGCCATCTGCTGAGATAAGTGGGACTGGTCAGTCCACACACCTCCTCATGGCCCCACTGGGTCCCTGCCAGCCCCACTCAGTTCTCAGCATCTCCCACTCACAGCTCCAGCCCAGCGCCCACTGCTGCCCTGGTGGGATCTGATATTTCCTGTGGCTCCCCAAAACGCACCTTGCTCAGCCCCTGCCCATGCAGCACCCCTCAATCCAGGGTATGGCAATGTCCACCCAAGAAGCTACCCTGTGCGGGGAACCCTGGTGTCCAGCCCTTACCTCCATGGTGATTACCTCCACCTGGACATTGGTCGGGAGGGGCAGGTTGGGCTGGAAGCGCTTGGCCAGAGCCACAAGGAGGTGCAAGGTGGCCAGCAGGTCCTTGTTGAAGATGGCTGCGAGGGGAGAGGGGTATGAGGCCGAGCCGAGGGGGCCGCCCAAACCTGGGGCCCCAGGAGGTCTCCTTAACGTCACAACAACCTTCTGAAGACCAGTGAGATCTGTGTCCAGCCTTCTGGAAAGTGGAGGCCTGGCGGTCTATATTTAGACTGAAAAATAGTCACACTTTGCGCAGGCACCCCACCCTGTGAATACAGCCCAGGACACAGCCCACCGCGTGGACGGGGGTTAGACACAGTGATGTTCACTGAAGCACTGTTTACAATGGAAACGACCACATGTCCTGTCCTATAGGAGGACACTGGTTAGATATGTTGTTAAAGTTCAGTGTGACTTAATTCAAGGTCAACATTATACCCATCAGTTACTGAACGTGAGACTTATAAACAGTGGTGAAGACAGTGGCGTGCGGCCAAACAAAAAGTGGGTTTGAAAACTGTTACATCATTGCTACCCAACCTTGGAGAAGCTACTTATCTCCTTCTGCCCTCAGTTTTCTCATCTCGAAAATGGGGAGAATGTGGAGATTGGAATGGCAGGAAGTTCATACCAAGCTGTTAACGGGGTGGGGTGGGGTGGGGACATTTGGGTGCTTTGCAGGCTCTCATTTCTTGCAAGCAGGCCCTGCAGATATAATTTAAATAAGCTAATGAAATGGGACCGTTAGCGGCCCCTCTAACAAGGTAGGAGAGTTCGTCATGGTAGTTGGAACTCAACAAATAGCAGCTGGTATTGACAAGCCTGCATTTTCCGTCCTTGTTCTCTGCTTTGCTGCAGTGACACCCTCGGGGAACAGAAGTGCCGAGGGCTGTTTGTGTGCATGCGTCTGTGTTCCTCTGCGCCTGCCTGAGGCTTCTGCCTCCTTCCATGTCCCCGGCTTGTGCCCATACCTGAGGCGGCTGAGCCATGCCCCTGGGTAAACGAGAAGCCACCCCTGGTGCAAAAGGACCCAGGCTGCCCCAGCCCTGCCCTGGACACCAGCCCGGGCTGAGGCCCCACGTACTGTCCACGCTCCATTTGACCTGCTGCTCGTCCAGCTGCAGGCTGCGGTTGGTGGCCTCCAGGACGGCCTCAAGCTTGCGCCTCTGGCTCATAGTGGTCAAGGCGATCTCCTCCACTTCCAGCTTAATCCCCGTCAGCTTCTCTGAGTTTGGGAGAGGACAGGATGGGGCAAGACGGGGTGGGGAGAAGGCAGTGAGAGGGTGGCAGAGGACAGAGGAGAGGGGAGGCGAGTCTGGCCCCTGCACGGACCCATAGCCAATGCGCTA